TTTTTGGGTCATTTACACATATACTACACGATACAACAAAAATTGCAACTCTACCATCCCATTAAAATTAATTGCGTACTTACTTAACACATTAGATTTAATTAAATTAATTTCTGCTGTCAGTTACCATAATATCCAACGTTCCCCCTTAATTTGCGCTTGATTAATATTCCAACGTCCCTTTAATTTGCGCTTGATTACTATTTCACCTTATTAAAAAAAAACCTAAAATTAACGTCCAAAAGCCTGAAAAATATATACTCAGAAAATTTATTGTTAATTTGAATCCAAAAACAGGTTGATCGAAAATCAGAAAAAATGTATATGTTTAGTTTATATAACGTATATATTACACATATGAACTGTATATGTTTAGTTTATTTAACGTATATATTATTATACATAATGTTTACATATACGAAACTGTATATAACGTATATATTATCATTCACTGAAATTAGTTGCGTGCTTTTAAAGATGAGGACGGAGAAATCTTCAAAGAAATCTGCGGAGGAGGATAAGGATGAGGATGGAGCTTCTAAAGAGGCTAAAAGAAAGAAGAGAGAGAAGGAGAAGGAGAGAGAAGCGAAGAGAGAGAAGAAGGAGAAGGAGAGAGAAGCAAAGAGAGAGAAGAAGGAGAGAGAAAAGGGAGAAGTCGAGGTGCGACCGATCAAGAAAAAAAAATACAGACAGATGGAGAGAGAGGAAGGAGGAAAAGAGAGGGGGAAGAGAGAGAAAGATTGTGATAAAGACGAATCGTTATTTGACTTCTGATAAGGATTAAATCCCAAAACATCGGCCCACTATCCATAAAAAATCAACTTACCTATATTAAAATTTAATCAATTTTTGTAAGTTTGCAATTAAAAATTTTGTCTCGTAACTATACAATTAAAAGAAGATTATGTCGTGCCTTAGGTAATTATCTCCTTTTTTTTGGGACTATGTACATTTGGACTTATAGTTAAAGCTAATGTTCAAGCCCAATCACTTGTTGTCGTAAGCTCATTAATTGGGCCGACTTTATTATGGAGTGAGATGGCTCTAAAGTTTGGAGAAACCCCATAATTTTTGTTTAAATAGCTCGAATAGCACTTTGATTTGAAATGGCATAAAATGTGTTTGTAATATATAAGTTGACTTATAACTTATTTATTTTATATATAAATTTTTTGTATTTAATAAGTTTGGTTTGGTAAAACAAAATTTTTAAAAAGTCTGAATTTATCTCATAAGCTTTATTGGGTAGCTTTTTAAATAAAAATCGTTGAACTTTTTATTTCAATAGATTTATCAACTAATTTTACCAAATCCTTTTATCATATCAGATAGCTTTCCAGTCGTAAGCTATCATCTATAAACTCGAAATTCTCTTATTAGTTATCAACTAACTTTTTAGCTAGGTTTACTAAATATAGCCTAAGAATTTCGTAAAAGGCTAGATTTGTAGTTTGATTTGGTTAAAAAGCCATTTGAAGTGTGTGTGAATAGTATTTTGTAACTAGCTCAATAAATAGACTCGTGGTTAAACAAGTGTTATTTCAAACCAGTAGTAGATCATGTGCACATGTATAAATGCAAATAAAAAATTCTAAATTTTATGTACGTATATAACTTTTAAACTTATAAATTAGATAATGAGTATATCATAGTTTAAAATCCTTGCAATTAGAAAAAAATAAACTGTATAAATAAAAGTTGTAGGAATTACATACGAATCCTATATTTATGACATGAATTGTAATAAATAATATAATTTTTATAATTTTGATAAACCGTGACCAATTTGTTAGCTGTAAATTATTATTATTATTATTATTATTATTATTATTATTATTATTATTATTATTATTATCATGATTATTATTATTATTATCATGATTATTATTATTATTATTATTATTATTATTATCATGATTATTATTATTATTATTATTATTATTATTATTTGATTTTAAGGGATATTGGTTATGCCATTAAAGTTAAATAGCGTTAAAATAATTATTAATAAGATGAAAAATTAATAATAATTTTAGAATAAATAACTTGAACAAAAAATTTGCAATAGAATTCTTGATGAGTAACATTCTTACATTTATAACTAGACACATTCTTAAAATTAGTACATAAGACTTAATCATAGCCACAGATTTTGCGTTGTTCAATGACGATCATATTAATCAATTATAATACACATTAATTATATAATAAAAATAATAATTATTATTAGTATTAATATTATATTCAAATTAATTATATATTAAATAATTTAATTATAAAATAAATTTTCCGGCTGGCGGCCAGTCCGGCTACCCTCATCCCGTTTTTCCGATGACCCCATTTTTTCGGCGACCTCGTTCCCGACTACTCAAGACAGTCATCCCGCCACAGTTCGAGCCTCCGCGACTGTTCAAGGACGGCCCGACGATTCCAGCCCGACGACCCCCGTTTTTCCAGCAGAAAGCTTAACCCTCGGGGTAGCGCGGGCTGGGCGACCGCCAAGGGCCCCCTTTCACCCCAGGGGCCACTTTTCTTAATATATTTTTAATATACGTATATACATGTTAAATATATAATAAAATATTGAATACAAAATTAATTTTAAATCTTATTTTTTTTATTCTTTGCATCAGACTTTTCATATTTTATCCACTTTATAAATTTCATGACAAAATTAAATAGTAGTCATTATTAGTGAAATTAATAATTTTTTACATATTTTTTATTATTCTTTTAATGCTTGGTTAATTTTCTTTTCTTGCTTGAATATACAAAATATTATTTCATGATTGCACCATTCAGTTATGATAGTGATGGAGATGAGGACAAACATGATTTTTTTTAATTTTTTTTTTTTTTTGTTTATTGTTAGTATTTTAATCCTAGATTTGTTAGTAAGTTATTTAATTATTCTAGTATTTTATTTGATAGGAAAGATATTTAATTATTTCAAGATAGGGTTTTGTTGGATACAATTTATTGGCTTCTTCTTCATTATGGATAATTGGTCAAGTTTATGAAATAAGAATATTTTCTTAACTAGAGAGTTTTATCTCTTGTTTTT